ACCTGATCTGAAGTTCAACATCCACTACAGACTTGAAAACTGCATTTATTTCTTTAGAGACTGAACAACTGCTTAATAACTCTCAATGTAGGTTTGAATTCAGAGCTGGAATCTGAGGACAATTTATAGGTTTTGCAAGACCCCAAACTAAATTCCTACAAACGGCAGTCTAAGAAAGTTAAAATATTAGGGGAAAATAATTGTCTTCAATCATAATCCATCAGTAGTACCGTAGCTAAGATAAACAGGCAACCCTAGGCAGCTCTCCTGAAATTAGGGTTACCAACCTCCAGGTGGCAGCTGGAGATCTCCTGCTATCACAACTGATTTCCAGGTGACAGAGATCAATTCACGCAGAGAAAATAGCCATTTTGGAAGGTGGACTCCATGGCATTATACCCCATATCCCACTATACCCCAAGTCCCTCCCCTCTCCAAATCCCACCCTTCTCAGGCTCCAGCCCCCAAATCTCCAGGTATTTCCCAAGCCAGACCTGGTAACCATACCTGGAATGCAGAGGAAAGGGTGAGCTGGTAAATGGTACTATTTTTTAATCTCCCTAGCAGATACCTCATACAATTTAAGAACTAAAATAGGGAAACATTTTATATCACTAGACAATCAGATTCTTGTCTAGGCTTTCAAAAGCTTAGCTATAAACTAAACTGAAAACCAATGTTGACAATCAGCAGGTTTTTAATTTTTTTTAACTATAAAGACACTAAATGGAATTAAAAATACCCTAATGTAATGCACATAAGGCCCTGAACACCACCTATGGAATCTAGAATCATCTTGTAGAAGACTGGACTAACGACACTCTTAAAAGGACAGGCTTTCAAAAAATATGCTGCATTGTGTTCCAGATCATCTATGAGAGATGGAACCGTTCTAATCTTATCCATGCTACTAAATATATTTAAATTTAGTATGTATAAACTGAAATATGAGACTCAAACTAAGTTATCTGTTCCTGTAGCATACACACAAGAATAAGATTTTTTTAAAAAAACTAACCAGAGTTTTAAGTAATCCTTTAAATATTTTTTAAAAGTTGAAGCTGTCAGTTCAATATGCAGGTAGTTATAAAAGTTGCTCTGAATCTATGAACAACAAACCACTTTTAAAACTAAACCTTTAGTCACATAGCAACAACCTACTGAAAGCTTTGCTGCCTGGAGAGACAGAAACCGATTTCACACAAGAGCTGCGCCGCTGTCACGCCCCCCTTTGCCTCGCTTCTATTGGTCAATTTCCTACTCAAAGCTGCGTGGCCACATTTTGACCCGCAGCTTCTCCTGATTTTCCCCGCAGTTTTGTGATCCTGTTTTTTGAGGATCAGGAAACCGCGGGGGAAATCGGGGAAGCGGCAGATCAAAATGCGCCCACGTGGCTTCAAGTGGGAAATTGACCAATACAAGCGGGGCAAAGGGAGGCACGACTGTGGTGCAGCTCTTGTGTGAAATCGGTCTAACTTACTGGTGCATCAGCATAAGCTAGAAGTGCAGGATGATACAGGCTGGGGGAAAAAACATCCAGTCCTATAGATTTAACATTGCAAGGTACACCTTGAGAAATACTGTGTTATAACCTCCTCCTGCCAAAAACACAACACATTCCTCCAATCATTTACCCAGCAGCAATCCTACTTCGAGGCATGGAATGAAATGACAAAACAGACTCACTCACTTCAATAGTGCTTGTGGCTTCTTAATTATACGATACATTCCGAAGTCACCAAAATGAACAGAACTTGTCTGGAGAAAGCTTGTCTTTTGATTATGTGACCACCTCCAGTGATTTAAACCTCTGCACAAACTGCACCCACATGACTGAGGCTTTACAGGATTAGCATCTAAGCCCTGAGAACTTTTCTTGTTCAACTCTTTAAATTAGCCATTAGGGTTGCCAGCTGCCTGGAGATAAAAAAAAAGTCCTGTCTATTTAGTAGAGGCTTAGTGTGTGGAAATGGTGAGCTGTTCATGGCATGGAAGTAAAAAATATTACCTGGTGAATAGCCTGTTAATCTCCAGTTAAAGTGACAGGACATTTTTCTCTCCAGGCAGCTGGCAACCCTATTAGCAGGACCGACTTATCCATTAGGCACAGGAGGCGCAGTACCGAAGGCCCACAATACTTTTAGGAGCCCATGAAAACGTTTTAATTTCTTTTAAAATCAGAAGGAAATAACCAGACTTTTAGGGTTGAAGAAAATGTTTTAATTTTTTCCTCACATCAGAAAAGATTGAAATGTTAGGGCCTGCTAAAATCTTATTAAATTTTGCCTAAAACAGGAAAAAAATGTTGAAGTATTTAAAGTTATATCAAAAATAATTTTTAGTATTGATATAATTATGGTGGGAGGGCCCTGGAAAGGCAAAAGTGCCTAAGGCCCACGAAAGTCATAATGTGGCTCTGCCTATTAGCTAACCTTCAACTACTGAGAGAATACTGACATTCTATTTAAAATGATTGGCTTTTCTTTTAGTATTACGATGGCTTGGGATAAGGTAATCTTAGAGACTACCTTCTTCAATATGAACCTACATATATACTGAGAGTTCCATGGAAGCCCTGATCCATGCATCCATGTTTGCACAACTGGATGTAAGCTGGGTGACCATACAGAACAGAGCATTTCGACTTCCGGTTTGTGGGTTGGCGATGGCAGTCACTCTCTCCAACGTCTGGGGAAGCGATTAGCACACCAGCTGCAAGGAGGGGTGCTACCTCAAGTGGTACCCCCACGGAGCCCTTGTGATGGGTTCCAGGCCAGAGGGCTTCTGAGGGCTAGCCTCTTCGACGGCTTGATGCCGGAGAATAGAGGCTTCCCTCCGCCCTGATAGAAATTATGGTTTTAGAGAGGAAAAAAATGAAATGGAAAAGGTATGGGAGAGTGGAGGGGGAAAAGATATCTCTAAAATGTATAAAGTGTTGTTAAAATGGTATACAGAAGATGAGACTGTGAAAGAGCAAATGTTAAAATGGGCAATAAATATGAATAAGGAAATTGACATAGAAACCTGGGAATATTTGTGGAAAAATGCTATTAAAATATCACCCTGTACCAATGTTAGAGAGAATTGTTACAAAATGATGTATAGGTGGTATATGACCCCAAAGAAAATTGCAAATATGAACCAGAATATGTCAAATAAATGTTGGAAATGTAAAAAACATGAGGGCTCATTTTACCATATGTGGTGGACTTGTGAAAAAGCTACACTCTTTTGGACAAAAGTCCACAAAGAAATGCAAAAAATACTTAAGTGCTCTTTCAAGAAAGCGCCTGAAATTCTGCTTTTGGGACTAAAAATGGAAGAAGTTAACTCGACTAAAAGGACTTTATTCTGGTACCTTATTACAACAGCGAGGATGATTTATGCACAATTTTGGAAGACTGAGAAAGTACCAGAAATCGAAGACTGGATACAAAAAGTTCTGTTCATGGCAGAAATGGATAAAATTACAAAGAAGTTGAATAATCAAGAAGACAACGTGTTTTTTCAAGAATGGAATGACTTTAAAATATATCTGGAAAAGAACTGGGATGTAAAACAAAACTTAATATGTTTAGATCAATATTAAGTCAAATGATGTTATCTTGAGGTTGGATGATAACAAATGATGTGTTAATGATATAATGAAATTTGTAAGAAGGGGGAGAAGCATTGCGGGAAGCCACTGGAGGGAGGGGAGGAAGGGAATGAGGTAAACAATGGACTGAATGATTTAATCTTATATGTTATGTTCCTAAGAAAATAAAAATTTGTTTACCAAAAAAAAAAAGATGAAGAAACTAAATCAAGTGACTCTGCTACTTCGGGAACGGACAAGGACTCTGTGGGTGAAGCGGGTGTGGGAGCAGGAGCAATGAAAACTGTATATGACTTTAGGGATAGAAAACCAAAGTAAGGGCAGAAGGACTCTGTAAATTGCTCTTTGAAGTAAAGAAGATGCTCAAGAAGTGCTCTCACAAAGATTAGCTTACTAATATAGAAGCTGTGTTAAACAAGAACTTCACAAGTATATTGAATTACTAACACTTGTATCACTAACATTTATATGAATATGGAAATGATCTCCTACTCTTGGGTTTTTAGTTAGTGTGGGTTATCTTTTCTTTATCCTTAGTTGTAGTCCCCCTTCCTACATTTTTCGTTGTAGTTAATAGTCTTATGAAAAATAATAAAAATACCCCCTTGGGGGTTTCAAAAAAACCCCAGAGCATTTTCTTAAGAAGCACCTCCAAATTAAAACATCCTTCCTCCATTAGGAATCTACATTATTATATTTTAAGTACCAATTTTTAAAATTGCTTGTTCACTCAGAATTTTTATCTGATGGATACCTGTTCTTGTTCTCATTGTATAATGGCAGCTGCTGCTTTTAATGCCGTTAATTACTTTGAACTGTTTTAATGTATTGCATTTAATCATGTTGTTAGCCTCAGTTTAAGTAAAACGATTTGACATCAATATTTGAAATAAAATAAATGGAACCAAGTAGTAAATTAGACTCAGTCAAAAATCCAGTTGAATGGCAAACCTTAAGTACCCAGCTATCAGCTGCGGCTTAAACTCCTTGTCTGCTGGAAGAAAATAAGCTTCAATTTGATCAAGCACCTGCATTCAGACTTCAAAACAAATTAGAGGTTGATTCAAGGCTTCTGAAACCAGGAAGGTTTCAATAGTGTTCCAGCCTGAAGAGAGTGAGTGAGCACATGAACTGAATTCACGCCCATCATAAACACAGGTTTTGTTTGCAGTGAATGAAAAAGCCAGTGCAATGAAGCCTTCTTTTTAAAAAAGAGAAAAACAAACGCAATCAATCTAACAACAAAGATCAGGGGAAAGGTACACACTGAAGCTATCTAAAAAGAAAAATCAGTTGCTTTCTTGTAACATGTTCACCAGGTAGCTAACACATCATTTAAATATATGAAAGTGAACAAGCATTGCTATTTATGGCACAGGAATCATTCTACATTCTGACTTACGTCTTAAGTGGTGTCTTCTTCTTTTTTGCAGGTTTGTTGACACAATCCCCTTCCATTCCATTGATTTCACTGGCATTAGCTGGTATCTCAAAGGAGGCTGGAGATTTTGTGGGAGAACTGGCTACCTTTGAGGAAGACTTGAAAGGGTCAATGGAGTCCTCGCACATATCTGGACTGAAACTGTATGTTGCTGCAGTTTGTTGAGGCAGTTTGGGGGAGTCTTGCATTTTGGAAGTGGAAGAAAACGGATTGAAATTGGGATCATCCCATTTGTCAATATCAAAAGAATAAGAGCCTTTGGGGATAGGAATGTCATTTGGATCACCAGGTGCCTTGGCTGGAGTGGCAGGAGCATTGTCAAGTTTCTCCACAGGCTTTTTAGGCTTTGGCCTCCTGAGTGGCATTTTAGCACCAGGTTTTTTGCCCACTTTCTTGGGCAGAGAAACACTTTCTTGTTGTTCTTCTCCACTGCCTTTTTCTTCAGAATAATCAAATTCCAGTCTAACTGCTAAGCCTTTCACTGGTGGATCTTCTTGTCCCCCAGTGTCAGACGGAGTCACCTCCACGGCCTCTGGTGCAGTTGAAAGAGCAAGGGCTTTCTTACCAACAGGAGGGGAGTTCTGCACTTCGTCGTCACCAGTACTAAATGCAGTAATTTCCTCAGAGTTATTAGGGTCAAAAGGATGTGCTGCTTCAGGAACAGGAGGGGCCTCCTGTTTCTCAGCAGTACTTTGGGAAGTCTCAGTGCTTTCAGGTTCAGTAGGTTCCACTCTGTCTCCAGATGTCTGTTCCCCACTTGGGGCTTCAGATTCCTGCTTGCTTTCAGATGGTTCTGGTTCTTTCACTGGTGGAACGTCTAAGGATTTTTTTGCCAATTGCTTTTTCTTTAAGGAAGCTGGCCGAGGCTTCTTTGTTCGTTTAAGAGTACTTGAAGCGCTGCTTGAACCAGTACCAAATGTATCTGTTGCTGAACCCACTGTCTCGTTATTACCGAGAAAAGATGCTCCATCAAAATCACCAGCTTGCAAGCTAAGGGACCGAGACAAAGTAGATCTGGAAATTGGAACAGAGTCTGTGGATTTTCTCCGGACATGTGCCTTGGAGTCACCGCTTCTTGAGTCCAGAGAGCTGGGATCTACAGTTTGCAAAGAGGCTACAATCTCAATGTTGTCAAAGTCCAAGTTGTAAGTCCCACTGCTAGCAATGGGCTTGTCTTCATCAAAAACAGTAGAAAATGAATGAGACGGAGGACGGAATGGACTTTCTTCAATTGATTCACTATGTGAAACTTCAGTAATTGATACTGTGTCAGAACAAAAACCTATTAAAGCAAAAGAGAAAGTGGTTAGTGTACAATTTGAAACAGATGGAGGGGAAAGATTAATCACATGAAGAGATTTTGAAGGGAGTTATTTTCCCTTTCTTGTAAAATTACCATGTTCTCTGTGAATTTAAAACCCCCAAACATAACATTCTGTCCTTTTTTTCTTTCCAGAGAGCCACTGTGAATCATGTTAATACAAATCAAAGAGGTGGGAACCAAGAAGAAGGTAATTTTTAAGAAGCTCTAACGCAGGTTTATTCAAAACTTGTTTTGAACAAGTTTAAAAAGAAAGAAATGGATCATTAATTATCTATTAAGAATTTGCATACCATCAGTATGCTATACAGCTGCAGCTCTAAAATACGCTTCAGAGGCTAGAGGGGGTGATTTGTTCAACACAAGCCCACCCCATAACTACATCATTAAACAAGAGGCAAAAGATCACATTTGCCCTTCTCTAAACTTGTTCAAGCTCTGTATTACACTCAAGTTACACGAAGAAGGAAAGCTTGATCTGAGCTTAAGGTAGAGTAGAAAACTACCCATTAAAGTAAATTTCACTGTAGTTCTTGAGTTCTGAAACTGTTTGGGAGTGCCTTCTAGCTGAAACAGTAAGGAGAATATAGCATTCCCTGTTTTGTAACTGGGAACACACAGACCTTACAGTGGTACCTTAACAGTCATGCAAATATTCCTGAAGTACTAAATCAACTCCAATTTCATTGTGTTCAACTTTGAATGGAATTAGTGGGAGATAAGCAGGGGTCGCAGGAGCGCTGCTCTGACAGCCCAGGACCCGGCGCCAATGGTGGTGCGGCAAGCCCTGCCCCCAGCACCGAAGCACTGGGGCCAGGGGAAGGCCGAAAGAGCCCCGCTGCTGGGTCCCCTAGGCCCACGTCAAACCGCTGGGGCTGGGGGGAGGCCTGAAGAGCCCCGCCACCGGGTATCCCGAGCTCGCGCCGAAGCACTGGGGCCGGGGGCAGGCCCGGAGAGCACTGTAGCTGGGTTCCCCATGCCCGCACCGAAGCGGTAAGTAAGGGATCGGGGGTGGGTGGGAGTGGCGGGGGCTTGATGGGGTGGTGGGAGAGCCTCCCTCCCTCCGTCTCTTTGTCATCTTTCCCTCCTTTCCTTTTCTTTCCCTCCTTTTCTTTCTCTGTTTCCCTTCTCTTCCTTCCTTCCTTCCTCTCTTTTCCTCCTTTCCTTCTCTCTCTCTTTCCTTTCCTCTTTCCTCCTTCTGTGGCCCAACTCTAGTGAGAAGGGGTTTAAACCCCTTCTCTCTTCGCCCCCCCCCCCCGCAGGCCATCTGGGGAAGAAAAGGGGAGGCTTTTAAAGATGCCTCCCCCCCTTTTGCTTCCCCTTCTGACATCACTTCCAGTGATGTCAGGGGTCGTGGCATAGGCTAATAGCCTAGTAGCTCATTAGCATACCATATGCCAATGAGCTCCTGCAGCTGTTTTTCTACAAAAAGACCCCTGGAGATAACTAGTATTTTAGCAGATCAGGCAAAGAGCTGGTGGCTTGCCTAAGGCTACCCCCACAAGCTTTATAGCTAAGGAGGAATCTCCACATCCAACATTCTACAACTGCCTCACATTAGTTCACATGGATCACCACCATGGCCTCTATACACACAAACACACACTATGAAAGGTAGAAACAATTGTATATCCATTCTGCCTTCAAGCAGAAAATGTAGCATATATGAAAGGATCAAATTACAAATACTTGGCATCCTTGTTCCTAGCAGTCAGCTAACCTGCTGGCTAAGCATCTTAAGCCCTTTCTTCCTTGGCAATTATTTTACTCTGCATGCAGCCCACTAAAGTCTCATACAAAGGCAAAACAAAGGATGTTCACAGTGCATTTCAATATTCTAGTGGACTGTTACAGTAATAGACTATAGCTGCAGATTCAGCTTCTGGCCTAATGTATTTACACAGCAACGATTAAATAAAGCATGGCTAGTGGTTAACCACAGGTTTTTAATGTTAACAAAAGGAGGGACTAAGTTTTATGTTCCTGAAGCAGCTCCCCTATACCTAAAAAGTTTGTAGCTGATTGTATCACTCATAATTCTTCGCTGATCTGCACACGAGTTTAATATGCTAAATGCTGTTGTTTTGCAAGCAAGCAGCTCCACTGTTCCATTCCACATTGTACAAGTAAATGTACACCTGAAATCTGCTGTACTAGAAGCAACTAGAATTTGAGAATGTACTTGCATTAATTGGGAGAGTACCAAAGCCCTGTGACACAGTAACTAAAAACACACACAAGGAAGTCCACAGAGGTGATTTAGGTCTGTATGTGGGATCTGACTTTTTTTTAAAAAAAAAAAATTACATGGCAGACCACCACCACCTATCTCAAATGGTTTCTGAAAACTCTGAGTTTATAACCTGTTTTCCATGTATGTCAGGGGGTGAGGAGTTGCTGTTCAAGAAATACTCAACACTTCATTAACAATGCAATCTAGGGTGGGGGGACCAAAATTGCTCAGGGTGTTCTGCCAGGCAGCATATCTCAGAGTTACACTGGTATAGCATGGCAGCTGACTGCTGGTGGGCCTCCTCTGTGGCCAGTCACCAAAGAAACTGCAGTATACCTGCTATGCCTTCAAAGAAAGGGGCAGGCCTGGGGGCATGGCAGGAGTTAGCTCCCTGTGCTGCTTCAGCCCACGAACCCCCCCCCCCCAAATCAGAGGAAACTTATGCCAGCACAAACTGCCAAGTAGCCCACAGGTAGTCCATATAATGGAAAAGGCAAAGTACACCCCAACCATTGTGGTCCCACCCAGCACTACATAAACTCCGGCCAGAAGACCCCCACAGCTCAGATGATAGGATGCACGGCCTGGGACTTTCTCTGAGGTATCTGACTCAGAGCATGCAGCAGTGCACTTTGGAGACTGGAAATGTGGAGGGAGCGCTCTTAGCATCACAGAGGGAACACCTAGCACTAACACCCAAAGAGGAAAGCAAACCTCTTTGCTGTGTAACTAACATCTTTCATTTCAGAACTCATACCATGTCTCCAGAGAAACACACCAAAGGGGTGGCCACACACTGACAGGCAAGTAGGGGCAGGGAGCTAGCAGCCTTGGCCTAGGATTCTGCCCCGGCACTCCCTTCCCCCTCACATGCATCCCAGGTGCTGCCTAGAGATGTGAAGGCCCGGAAAAAAACTGGAAAAATTCGGAAAAAAACCGTTTTCCCCCCAGTTTTTTCCCTGAAGCCTTTTTTGTTTTTTTTCCGAAAAACTGGAAAAATTGAAAAAAGAAAAGAAAAAAATTGATTATGGAACGTTTTATTTTAACATGATGAATAAAATATTTTAAGACAAGGTGTTCAAATATTTTCCAAATCATTTCTAAAAATATGGTATCAGATTGATCTAATTTCTGTGCACTGAGGACAAGCAAGTCCTAGGTTACAAACTGAACTCTCCAATGCAAGAACAAGATGCATTTCTTCCTTTAGGAGGTGCTATTGTCAGAAGAAAATAAAAAGGTTTCAGTTTTGTTTTTGCATGTGGATGGGTATTCTGTTTGTAATAATTGTTTGGATACACTATATTTTTAATATGATAGTTGTGATAATTTCATGCCAAGGAAAAATGTCCATAGTCATATTTTATGTTCCTAAAGTAACAGAATGACTTTCAATCTAGAAAAGAGAACAGAAATGCTAATGTAGCATTTTTTTCAATTTTTCCGAAAATTTCCGTTTTTTCCTGAAAAAACCTGGGGGGAAAACGGGTTTTTTCCCGAGCTTCAAAATTTCTGGAAATTTTACATCTCTAGTGCTGCCTTGACTTCTATAGCCAAGGGGAGTGATGTGTGCATATAGTGGCCACCAGGAAAAAAACACATGTGGCTGAACCATACCATTTCAAAATGCAAAGTAAAGATTGTTATGCTTATAAATATATAAAGTCAAACTCCATGGGTGATATGGAAAGCTAGCACAGGTTGAAGGTCTGTAGCTTAGCCATTTGTCTGATGTGGTAGCTCTCCATGGGGACAAAGAATGCTTTAAAATCTGGCCCAGCTGCTGGACCTCCTGATGGCACCTGGGTTTTGGCCACTGTGTGACACAAAGGACTGGATGGGCCATTAGCTTGATACAACACGGCTTCTCTTATGTTCTTACTAGGAATAAGGCCCATTGTGGAAATAAATACAACTAACTCTAGAAAGAGGCTCTGGGTGGGTGCCCTGGCCTTGGGCACTCAGCGTCAATTTGCTGTGGTGACCTCAGCAGTGTATAATGACACAGAGCCCACCGTTTTCTCCAGGGAAACTGATCCCTGCCATCTGAAGAGCAGCTGTAATTCTGAGTGATGTCCAGCCCTCACCTGGAGATTGGCAGCAGTGGTTTCCCAGGAGGAAATGGCTGGTTTGGTGGGTGGAGTCTATGGCACTGTACCTGTCTGAGGTCCCACCCCTCCTCAAACCTCACCCTCTCCAGGCATCACCCCTCAGATCTCCATGAATTTCCCAACCTGAAGTTGGCAATCCCATCTCCTTCCCGGCCAATAATCAACCTACCTTTATCTGCCCCTCTGTCTTCAGCTTTCCATTTCCCCTCCTCCTGCAGCCTCTACCCCGCTCTGAAGCCGTGACCGCCACGTCATATGGGCTGTCATAGGGTGGCCACCTCAGCAAGGTATAAGGATCCCTGCTTTAAATCTCCTTCACTCTATGAAATTCACTGAAGGACACTGGGCCAGTCTAGGCAGAAAAAGCGTCATCTATCCCACTCAGGCTCACTTGTGGTATCAGTGATTATGTAAGGAAAACATGACCTCAAAGGATGGAACCGGTGAGCAGTGGGAGGGTTCAACATTCCTTTTGCACTTTGCATTGCATCCCACCTTCTGCTTCACATACAACTGGTGTCTGGCCGCCATCACACAAGGGTCGGCACTCACAGCAGTTCTGCCTAACGTGCAACATAGAAGGATGCTTCCATGTGCAAAAGTGTTTGCATAGTTCT